CTAGATATCCTTGCTAATTTTCTGTCTGGTTGATCTAATATTGACAATGGAGTGTTAAAGTCTCCCACTATAATTGTGTGGGAGTCTAAGTCTCTTTGTAAGTCATTAAGAACTTGCCTTATGTATCTGGGTGCTCCTGTATTGGGTGCGTATATATTTAGGATCATTAGCTCCTCTTGTTGCATTGATCCTTTTACGATTATGTAATGTCCTTCTTTGTCTCTTTTGATCTTTGTTGCTTTAAAGTCTAATTTATCAGAGATGAGAATTGCAACTCCTGCTTTTTTTTGCTCTCCATTTGCTTGGTAAAGCTTTTTTTTTTTTTTTTACTTTCCATTTGCTTGGTAAATCTCCCTCCATCCCTTTATTTTGAGGCTTTGTGTATCCTTGCATGTGAGATGAGTTTCCTGGATACAGCACACCAATGGGTTTTGGCTTTTTATCCAATTTGCCAAACTGTGTCTTTTGATTGGGGCATTTAGGCCATTTACATTTAGGGTTAATATTGTTATGTGTGAATTTGATACGGCCATTTTAATGCTAGCTGGCTGTTTTGCCCATTAGTTGATGCAGTTTCTTCATTCTGTCTATGCTCTTTACCATTTGTTATTTTTTTGGAGTGGCTGGTACTGATTGTTCCTTTCTCTTTAGTGCTTCTTTCAGGAGCTCTTGTAAAGCAAGCCTGGTGGTGATGAAATCTCTGTGTAATTGCATGTTCATAAATGATTTTATTTCTCCTTCACTTATGAAGCTTAGTTTGGCTGGATATGAAACCCTGGGTTGAAAGTTCTTTTCTTTAAGGATGTTGAATATTGGCTCCCACTTTCTTGGCCTGTAGGGTTTCTGCTGAGAGACCTGACCTTTCTCTCTGGCTGCCTGTAGCATTTTCTCCTTCATTTCAACCCTGGTGAATCTGACGATTATGTGCCTTGGGGTTGCTCTTCTTAAGGAATATCTTGGTGGTGTTCTCTGTATTTCCTGGAGTTGAATATTGGCCTGCCTTGCTAGGTTGGGGAAGTTTTCCTGGATAATATCCTGAGGATTATTTTCCAGCTTGGATTCATTCTCTCTGTCACATTCAGGTACACCTATCAAACATAGATTAGGTCTTTTCACATAGTCCCATATTTCTTGGAGACTTTGTTCATTTCTTTTTCTTCTTTTTTCCTCTAATCTTGCCTTCTCATTTTATTTCACCGAGTTGATCTTCAGCCTCTGATATCCTTTCTTCTGCTTGGTCAATTTGGCTGTTGAAACTTGTAAATGCTTCTCGAAGTTCTCATGTTGTGTTTTTCAGCTCCATCGATTCACTTATATTCCTCTCTAAGCTGTTTATTCTCGTTAGCATTTCATCTCACCTTTTTTCAAGGTTCTTCATTTCTTTGCATTGGATTCGAATATTTTCTTTTAGCTCAGAGAAGTTTCTTTTTACCCACCCTCTGAAGCCTGTTTCTGTCTATTCATCAGACCCATTCTCCATGCAGCCTTGTTCCCTTGCTGGAGAGGAGTTTTGATCCCTTGGAGGAGGAGAGGCGTTCTGGTTTCGGGTGTTTTTATCCTTTTTGTGCTGGTTTCTTCCCATCTTTGTAGATTTATCTACCTGTTGTCTTTTTGACTTTCAGATAAGGTCTCTGAGTGGACGTCTAGTTTGTTGATGATGAAGATATTTCTTTCTGTTTCTTAGTTTTCCTTCTAACAGTCAGGCCCCTCTGCTGTAGGACTGCTGAGGTCCACTCCAGGCCCTGCTTGCCTGGGGATCACCTGCAGCAGCTGCAGAACAGTAAGGGTTGCTGCCAGTTTCTTCTTCTGCTATCTTTGTCCCAGAAGGATAACTCCCAGATGTCAGTCTGAGCTCTCCTTTATGAGGTGACTCTTTGGATATATGGGGATCAGGAAGCTGCTTGAGGAGATAGTCTGTCCTTTATAGGAGCTCAAGTGCTGAGCTGTGAGCTCTGTTGTTCCATTCAGAGCTGCTGGGCAGGTACGTTTAAGTCTGCTACAGCAGAACTCATAAATGTCTTTTTTTTTTTTTTTTTTTTTTTGCCCAGGTGCTCTGTCTTGGGGAGTTAGGGCTTTATTTATAAGTTTCTGTCATGCTGCTGCCTTTTTTCAGGGCTGCCCTGCCCAGCAAGGAGGCAGCCTAGTCACAATCTGCCTGCAGAGGCTTTGCTGAGCTACTGTGGGCTCCGCCCAGCTGCCATGTGAACTTCCCTACAGTCCTGTTTATAGGGGTATAGGTAGAACTGCCTCGGCAATGGCAGCCCACCTCTGTAATGGTGGACTCTCTGTAATGGCAGACTGCCTCAGCAATGGCAGGCTGCCTCTGCAATGACAGACTACCTCAGTAGTGGTGGACTGCCTCAGTAATGGCAGATGCTCCTCCCCCACAGAGTTGGACCATCCCAGGTTCAGCTGTGCTTGCTGTGAAACTCTCAATCCAGAGCGTTTCAGATTGCTGTTTTTTGCGGGGGTGGGACCGGCCAAGCCTGATCACCTGGCTCCCTGCCTCAGACCCCTTTTTTTTTTTCAGTTGAATGGGCGACTCTGTCTCTCAGGCGTCCCAGTCACCAGTTGAAATGGTGCCCGGATTTGTGTGAGATTTTGTGCAGAGACCCACTGAGCCAGCTGAAACAGCTGCACTGGGGATCGTGGCACTTTTTCGCCTGGGAATCTCTTGGCCTGGCTCCCTGTTTCAGTCCCCTATTTTTTCACTTGAATGGGCAACTCTATCTCCCAGGCATTCCAGTTGCCTGTTGAAAAGGTGCCAGGATCTGTGTGATTTCCCAAGCGGCAACCCCCTGCGCCAGCTGAAACAGCCACACTGGAGATTCATGGTGCTTTTTTGCCCAGAAATCTCCTGGCCTGGCTCCCTGTTTCAGTCCCCTTTTTATCAGTTGAATGGGCGACTCTGTCTCCCAGGAGCTCCAATCTCCAGCTAAAATGGTGCCCAGACCCGTATATTTTGTGTGGAGACCAGCCGTGCTGGAGACCCGCCATGCTGGCAACCTGTGGGGTGCCTCCACCTGGGTATCTCCTGGTCTGTGGGCAATAAAAATCCGTCTAGAAATGCAGCGTCCACTCACCCTCCATGCTTTCGCTGGGAGTTGCAATCCTGAGCTGCTCCTAATCGACCATCTTGGATCCTCTCCAGAAGGCATTTTTTGTAGAGGTAAATTAGTGACTTCCAATTTAAGATTACTAAGAAGATTCCATAAAAACGTGCACAGAGAAATTGTAAGGGAAGATACATATTTGAGATTTTCATTATTTTCTGAAAGAGGAAAAGGTCTACTATGAAGCATTTAACATTGCTGCCCCCCTGAGATCGTCCTGAAATCAGAAACTTTTTGCCAGTCTTTCTTGTTTCTTACATCTCTGTTATTGAACTTAATTTATTCTGCCTAGCTTATTTTTTCTAAGAACCTTTTTATTATAAAAGTAATATATGTTGGCCTGATTTATTCTTAATTGTGTGTAGTAAGTTCAGTGAAGACAGAGACTGTACCTTATTTGTAAAACAATGTCAGGACACCTAACAGCACAGATCTTGGAGTCAGACACACCTGAATTTGAATCTTGTGTGTGCTGCTGCTCCTCAGTTAAATACCAAGTAGTTTTTTTGTGGTGGTTGTTGTATAATCTTGTTTAGACTCAATACACTTATCTTTAAAATGTAGATAATGCCTATTTCTCTTGGGGCAGTTGTGAACATTAAATGAGAAAATGTATGAAAGTGCTTAGCCAACAGTGCCTGGTACCCACAAGTATTCAGCCCACAGTAACTATTATTATGTATGTCTAGTTTATTTGAATCTCTACAATGTAGCACAGAAGGAAGTGCTCAGATCTTTGCTGAACAAATAATAGCTGAGAGAAGAAAATCATAAGAGGAATCCAAGGGCTGACACCCTTGGTTGATTATACCCTTTTCTTTCCCCTGTGACCTTAAGATTTGGAGTCCTAGGGGCTGCTATGGACGCTTGAGCTCTGCTTCCAGCCCCAAATGAGCCTTGTTGGAGGTGGGATAGGAGGAAAGTATTGTCTGTTTGCACCAGGGCCTCCCTGGGAGTTCTGAGCTTCTCAGGGGAATTTCATTCCAGTCTCCAGCTCCTTTGCCCACTCACCTGCCCTCCTACCCCAATGCCTCTGGAAAGTTTTCTAGTGATGGGAACTTCCAGTGACTAACCTGCACCTTTGTAGGGTCACTGGGAGAGAGGGACCCTCTAAATACCATCTCCTGCATGAAGCATTTCTTGTTTCCCTGGTTAAAAAGAGTCTCTCCTGGCCGGGCGCGGTGGCTCACGCCTGTAATCCCAGCACTTTGGGAGGCCGAGGCGGGTGGATCACGAGGTCAAGAGATCAAGACCATCCTGGTCAACATGGTGAAACCCCGTCTCTACTAAAAATACAAAAATTAGCCGGGCATGGTGGCGCATGCCTGTAATCCCAGCAGGAGGCTGAGGCAGGAGAATTGCCTGGACCCAGGAGGCAGAGGTTGCGGTGAGCCGAGATCGCGCCATTGCACTCCAGCCTGGGCAACAAGAGCGAAACTCCGTCTCAAAAAAAAAAAAAAAAAAAAAAAAAAAAAGTCTCTCCTGCAATTGCACATAGCGCTTCTTGCCCTACTCTAGCTACTGGCTTTATGTTGTTTCCTGCTGTGAATTGTACGTCTCTGAGAGCAAAGTCTAGGTCTGGTTTCTGTTTGATCAGTATAATGAGCCGTACATATGTTTCCAAGCAATGACTGTTAAACTGAATTCCAAGGAAGCAAGACTCAGGGCTGCAGCCTAGAGCTGAGCCCTGAGCCCAGATCTTCCCCTAAACTCCGAGGTGCTACCCTGACCACCAGACCTTTAAGTTTATACACTTCTGCTCCCTATGGGAGAACACAGCCACTGAGAAATTAGTAGCCTGAAATTCATTGTTTAAGATTCGTTGGAGAAAGCTCCCAACAATAGATTTCAAAAAGCTGGCAGAAATACAGAAGAAAAGCTTTCTTATTTAGGGAATAAGAAAGGTTTATTTAGGGAATAAGAATTTGCAAGATGCTAACATCAGACTTTTTCCTCTCCATATTGTTCATTTTTTACACCACCCAGCTATACCACCCTCCTGTGTAATAACATAGGAGCATGGTGGAAATGCAATACCTATTACAGCTGGAAACAATCCAGAAGAATTCTGAGTCTATTAGCAGACAGCTTACTAAAACTTTGTTCTAGTAGTCATATAAAATTGATAATGCAATAATTTATTTGATCCCAAAGGTAACTACTATATTCAAAGCCATCCAACATGATAAAAATTTGTGGAACATTATATATTTTCCTAGTTATCATTACCACAGTTTGCTAAAGTTCTTGGCTGAAAATAAATATTTTCTAGATATTATTCCAAGTTTTTTAACTAAATTTAGGTGAAATAACATCTCAGGAAAAGTTGGTCAACTGAATAATTTGCTTTCCTCTCTAGGCATGGAAAAACAATTACCCTTTCAACTTCATCAGTGTCTCTGTTGAGAGTTGGACATTTCAAAGCCTCAGTTCTGCTTGAAGAATGCCAAAGTGTCTCCTTTTGATTTCATGTGGCTTTTCACAAATTCAATTAATTTCCTGAACCCCTGGGCCAGCCCGTCCCCTGTGATGGCACAGCAGGGTTGCACATACCAGTTCCGGTCACTGCAGAGCTTCTTCACGTTGAACATTCTGGTGATGTCCTCCGCAGTCAGAGCTCCAGGCACGTCTTGTTTGTTGGCTAATAGAACAACAGGCGCATTTTTAATGTGTTCATTCTTCAAAATGTGCTCAAATTGTCTCCGAGAGTCTTCCAGTCGCTGTTTGTCTGTACTGTCCACAACATACACCAGCCCATCGGTGTTCTCACAGTAACAGCCCCAAACAGTTCTCATTTTCTCCTGTCCTCCAACATCCCAGACTGTGAGCGAAAGACTCCTTTCCAGTTCGAGCATCTCCACATTAAAACCTATTGTAGGACTGGTGGCAACATCCTCAGCAAGCTTTAATTTATAAAGGAGAGTAGACTTCCCAGCTGAGTCAAGTCCCAAAAGGAGAATTTGGGCTTGCTTGGTTTGGGGATTTTTTGAATTCAGCAAACCCATTTTAGCCTTTTTTCCCTCTCCTTAAATTCTCTTTCTTTCCTTCTTTCTTTTTCTTTTCTCCTTCCTTCTTTTCTTTTCTTTCTTCTAATGGCCAATGTGTCCTTTCTGGATCTCGTGTGAAAATGTTAGGAAGAGAAAAGAAAGCAAATGTTTCATGCTGTATTCTAAGAACAAGAACCTGCATATATTTATGTTGTAGCTTATCAACTTGATTATGGGCAAACAGTATAATTTGCAGTCCCAGCTAATCCTGAGGGATCTGTGGTGGGAGTAACCAGCCAATGCCATGGTGACTCAAAGGGGAAAATTTCTTTGAATGAGTAAGATTAGGAGAGGCCTGTCTGGCTGACGCTGCAGCTGTGTTTTCTTTCAGGTGCTAGAAATCTAGAAGAAATAGAAGGCTCAGACATGCAGAGAAGCGTGGTTTAACAGCAGAATAAAAACTTTTCATTTTAATTAACTAACTTTTAATTTAAATTTTACTAAACTTTTTGTAGAACTTCTGTAGGTATTCAACCATTCATCTTATCCCAATTGTAAATAAGGAACCAGGCTTCTTAAGTGATGAGGACAGAGTTATTCTCACATTCTGCCTGCAGTATCTTAAATCCCCCTTGTCCAGATTACTCAATAGAAAACTTTAAACCACCCAAGGTTATCTGAATCTTACTCCATAATCACATACAGAATCACTTTCTTTAATCTTCTATGCAGAGAATTTATACTACTGCAGTCACAAAACCAAATATATGAGGGGGAATTTATGACACAAACACTTTACATTAAGCAGTCCAATTAAAGATGGCAAATGAATACATGTATTTATTTCTTCTCCTTCCCAAGACTCCACAAAATAATGGTAAAGGCATTAAAAGAACATATAGGCAGGGCACAGTGGCTCACACCTGTAACCTCAACACTTTGGGAGGCCAAGGCAGGTGGCTCATCTGAGCACAGGAGTTCAAGATCAGCCTGGGTAACATCGTGAAACCCTGTCTCTACTAAAAATACAAAAAAATTACCTGGGCGTGGTGGCACGTGCCTGTAATCTCTGCTACTCAAGAGGCCGAGGCAGGAGAATCGCTCGAACCAGGGAGTTGGAGGTCGCAGCCTGGGCAACAGAGCAAGACTCCATCTCAAAAAAAAAAAAAAAGAACATATAAGTTCATAACAAAACAGCAAGATAACCCAAAGATAATTCATCAGAGGGTGAGAGATTTTAACAAAATTCTGGAAAATGGAAAATAGATGGAAAAATGAGTGATAACTGATACAGCAGGATAAAGCCAAGGCTTGGAGTGCTGATGCACAGGAGATAGACAACAGGTGGCAGGTATGGCAGAGAGAAGTGGTTAAACAAAGAAACTGAAAACAAAAGAAGGTAACAAGAAGCCAAAATAAAGAACAGAACACACACACACACACACACACACACACACACACACACACACACACACACACCACTCTGCTGGGTATCTTCAGCAATTAGATGCTTATTCCCAGGCAAAACTGAAGAGTTCTTTATTAAAGAAATTAAATGATCTCAGAAAAAAGACCACCACATTTTGACAGTTGGGAGTTTCTGACCATAATGCCTAATTCAACATGTAATTAACGTATAGCCAACCTGGCAATTGGCAAACTTGCTCACATACATAGAGTTCCCAATCAGCTTTACGGTGCACAGGGAGGTTTCACTGGTGCTGATTCTGGGCCTGGTGAGTCATGCTGATTGAGGGCAAGGAGTGACACATTATCCTCCAGGAAAATTTGAACCTTTGTTAGAGTCCAGATGATGGGAGCCCTTCATGGAGCCTCCAGCTTTCTTTTTCTTCAGAATATTCCTCCTTGATGTGCTTCTTCCCTAAGAGTTTGAGCAAGAAGGACCCTCAAGAGTCTTGATACCTACTCTGTTTCAACTATAGAGTTCCCATCTCTGTTTAAAGGAATTCCTTCATTTCTTAGATGATGTGCAGGGGCTACCTGGCCAACATCAGCCAGTTTGATGACCTACCTCAGCTTCTCTCCAGCTTAAATTATTAGCTCCTTTCAATATGAATGAGAGAGAGACCAAGATAAAAATAGAACTTTTAAGAAAGCTTAAACAGAGCTAATGAAGGGAACAGAAGAACATTATCATTAAATTCTAATTACAGATTTGAGAAGATATTACATCCATAAGACAAGATATGTATGTTATTAAAGAGACCACTCAGAGAATAAAAACAAAACTCCTAAAAATTAAAACAGCAAATTTCAAAAAATTTTAAAGGTCAGTAATACCTGTAGGTTGGCAGACAATGTTGAAGGAATCTTTCAGAAAGTCGAAGATAGAAAATGTGGAAGAAAAGATAAGAAATATGAATGATCAACTCAGGAGTCTCATTTACAGGGCTCATTCCAGAGAGGAAAACAAATATGCACAAGAGGAAATCATCAAGAAACAATATGGGACCACTTCCCAAAGCTAAACAACGAACTTGCCAGATTGAAGGACTTCCCTTAGTGCTTACCAACATGATTTTTAAAAGAGCTATACCAAGGCATGTGATAGACATGCTTTTTTAATTAAAACTAAAAATTTATTTTAAAAACTTAAGTAGTCTATTTTAGATACAGAAAGCACATGTATAAAGAAATTCTATAATCCTTTTTAAAGAATTAAGTTATTAACCAACTCTCTATAACTCAGAGGCCAAAGATACCATTTTCATTTTTTCATTGATTTATTCATCTACCCGTTCAGGAAACAAATGTATTGATTGCCCACTCTGTGCTAGATGCCAGGGAGGTCACAAAGATCAACTAGACTTGCCTTTAGATGGCTTTCATTGGGGAGAAGGTAAAAGACATGTGACCAAATAAAAATAAAATACAAAGTCCAAAAATTATCAATGCTATAAGAAAAGAAAGGGTAATATATTCTGGATATTCACAGACTCTTTTAATGTGAAAGGCCTCGGGGAAATCTTCCTGGAGAAGGTTAAGCATTGAACCAGGCCTTGTAGAGACACAGTGAGGGCACATATAAAAGAAATAGTCTGTGAGAGCAAAGTCTCAGAAATGGGAAAATATGAGGATGTATAAATGGAAAACTAGCTGTATATGGATATGTAGGAGTTTCTTCCATAAACTATCATGAGAAAACCGTAAGATAAATCTAGATTACAGGCCATGCTGCAAGACAACAGACTTAAGACTCTTCAAGATATGTCCGTGTCATGAAAGACAGAAGTGAAAAAAAGGATCACAGGGAAGAATGCTCTAAATAACAGATATATGACTCCTAAATACATTGTGTAAACCTGTGTTGGCTCCTGTGTCAATAATAGTCATTAAGGAAATTATTATAGTAATTATGACAATTCAAATTGGGGAAACTTGATTATGAACTGTTTATTAGATGGGATTGTTTATCAATGATAAATTTATTGTAGGTGATGATGCAATTGTTATATAGGAAGATGTTTTTGTTTCAAGGAAATACAGGCTAAAGTACTTGGGGGTGTATCAGCAAGTTAATTTCAACTGGTTCAGCAAATACATGCACAAAGATATGTGTATGGGAGGGAGGGAGTGTGTGTAAATATGGCAATACTAGTTGGTGGCTCTAGGTCAGAGGTATTGAGTGTAGTATTTAGTATCTTTTACTAAAAATAGTAAAATAGTTCATTTTTCTATTTTTAACTTTCCTCTAGATTTGAAATTTTTGAAAATAACATGTTGAAAAAAAGAATATACTTGAAATAAGCTAATAAAATTAGACTGCAGTCCATAGTAATACAGAAAAATAATTCAGCTTACTTAGGGGTAAGTCTGTACCTCCAAAGGTGAATTTAGGAACACTGACTGCACTACTACTTAAGCTCTTTCTCACCTCCATGTTTTCAATAAATTAAAAAATTTAAAAGAAGTTAAACATTTATTTCATAATAAACTCAATGATTTGAGTGCTTTATGAGGTTTACTATTAGTCCTGGGGACATCCTTAAATGTAATGAGCCTGATCATACATATATGCCTTCACTGTTTCCTGTCTGACCAATGGTACCATGTTTTCAAGATAGCCAAACAAACCAGGGCTTAAATTCTGCATAAATATTATATTCACATAAGAACATGATTCTCTTCTGTGAAAAGAAATGAAATAATTTTTTCAACACTAATTGTCATGAAGGAATCTACAAATGTTTCAACATCCTTTCTTATTGCCCCAAAACATTTATGGATTCATTTGTCCCAGCCAAACCCGAGGGAAGGCACGGTATTTGTTTTCTGTAAATCATTCTAAGATTACGCAAATAAAGGTAGACTTGTGAGAGAGTTACTGGCAGGTTCTGTGGTGTCACAGAAAATTTGTTTTAAAATATGGGAATGAAAGAAAGATTTTATTTAATTTCTTACCATGGAGGTGTGAGGCAAAAAGTCCTAACTTGGAAGCTCAACCATGTCCTGACCAAGTGAACATACAGAAACTTATCTCTTGGAAGAAAGGGGCAACTTATTTCATTATCTTTATTTTTCACAGATAAAGAATAAAGAATTAGGATGTGATTGTGTAAACTGCTTAGCTAACAGAGACTTGGAACATTCCCTACTTTCTCTACAATAACTTTTTTTTTGGTCTTTTAAAAAATAAATGTTTGGAAAATTGAAGTATAACACATATATAGAAAAATGCAAAAATCATAAACGTACAGCTCAAAGAGTTAACAAAAATTGAAAACACCCATGTAACCTTCACTAAGGCCAGGATTAATTTTTAACTTTGCATTTTTTTGCAAGTAAAAATTCAAGACCTCAAGTATTTCCATACCCAGTAGTGAGAAATATGCTCTGTTCCCGAATAACAGTCACTCTTTGTCCTAGTTGAGATTCTTTGAAGCTGCAAAGAATAATATATCCCAGTCTACAAAGATTTTCCAAGTGCCATTTCCATCTGACTGAACCAACACTTTCACTCACATCATCAAAGGTTTTCTTACTTTCACATTGGTAGATCATCGGATGTGAGTTCAAAGCTAGCCTCTGGCACTCACTAAATATTGAATACTTGTTATAATTATATAAAATAAATATGAAAAAAAGTTGTCACAGAGCCTGTCCCATGGTTGATGGAAGTTTTCTCCCTCTCCTCTCACAATTTTTGTGTATTAGCTAACATTTTTAAATACCTGTGATTCTTAACCTTTTCCAGATGAGGAACAATTTACTGATTCTTTTCTTGAGGGCCATCAAGTTCCTTCCCACTAGCCTCTATTATCTCTGTCCCCAGCTCCAAATCACAAGATTGTAGATGGGACTTGTATCAGCTTTCTCCTGGCTGTTTGCACTGATTATCTTTAA